AGAAGATAACACACTTGAAAATGAGTCAAGTTCTTAAGACAGATGGATTTTAAGTGGCTGCATAAGAATTCGAAAATCCTGAACTTAACGCCTCGCCAAATGGGCTTTTCATTATTATTATTAACATTATTATTATTATTATTATTATTACTATTCTTGTTGTTGCTATTGTTATTAGTGTTATTATTGCCGGCTCATTACGCTCGTGTGAGTTTTACGTAAAAGTAATATAAAGCGCGATTCTGGTTCGGATACGGTAAGCAGTTTTTAGTCTTTGTTGTTGTTGTTGTTGTTGTTGTTATTGTTGTTGCTGTTGTTGTTGTTGTTGTTGCTGCTGTTGTTGTTATTGTTGCTGCTGTTGTTCTTGTTCTTGTTTTCTGTAGGTTCTGCGATGATCTCATCGATTGCATCAGATTTCGCACGGCATGTCGTTATGTGGCCCACAATTTAAACTGAAATTCTTGTTTTTTTTTTTTAGTAAAACACATATATGCAGAATATTCAAAATTAGCTGTTAGCACGACAATAGCGTTGATGATACCGAGCCGAGTATAAAAAAAAAAACCAACCTCATAGCGAAACGCATTAAAGGCGCGCCAAAACTCAGCTAAAAAGCTAATGATTCTTTTTTTTTTTTTGTTTCTTCTTCATGGCCAATGCCTTCAAATTAGCTGCATTCGAGCATAATAAAAAAAAGACACTATAAAAACATACAATTGTATAAACATTTGATAGATGTATATGTGAAGAGCTGCATATATAATAGATTATGTCCTGACTGACTGACTGACTGATTGACTGACTGGCTGACTGATTGACTGCCTGACTGATTGATTGACTGATTGTTGATCAAAGCACAGTCCGAAGGCAGTTTTCGCAAAATTCCTCCAACCTGTGAGTGAGTTTTGGCCTAACAAGCGGCAGATCAGGAAAAACAAAAACTTATATTTTATTCAAGTATATATAAGCATATATATGAGAGTATAATTACACCTACATATGTCGAGTTTATCGAGTTACAAGAACCTGCCTTTCGACCGATTGTTGCTATGACAACTATATGTTATAGTGGCCCGATTCCGAAAAACATACTGCCTGCAAGAGAATGACGGACCTATAGAGTATAACTGAGAGACTAGACTAGAAACAGACAGACGCACAGACGGAACTGGCTTTATACAGTCTGCTGCTGATGCTGATCTAGAATATATATACTTTGCGAAGTAGGAGACCTCGCCTTAATGGAAAGACTTACCCTCTACTAGGTAAATTCAAGGTCTGTTAACAAATTGATAAATTATATATTTTTTTTGCTTTAATTGTTATGTCAACTAGAATGCTATCATATATATTTGCGGGAATGCAGGCAATGCCGGGTAATTTCCCCCACACATAACCCTACGTTAATTTTCGCCAATGAAACAGGTCTCTGGCAATTTGATTGATCTGCATCAGGTTCAAATGAAATTAACACTGTCTCTTGCAAATCAATAAAATTTTCGAAATAAATAAGAATTTGCTGATTTGTTTCTTTTGGTTTTTTTCCTCAACTTAACATGCATATCTGAAAGCATTTCGTTGACAATGGATCTCTTGTGAAAGCAACAGCTAAGCCATAAAAATCCTGATTAACATATGAATTCTTAACTGTGAAAGCCCTCTAGAAAAAACTCTCCTAAGTATATTTTAGATCGAAAATCGTAGAACTTAGCTTATTAGAAGCCCAAACTCGCAACGTGTAGGAATTTAGCCGCAAGTCGTGTTCTGTCTCTATTTATTTTGTTTTTTTTTTCATATTGTAACTCATTGACCTCTCGTTTAGCTCAAGCTGCCTTGCTTTTATTATTGTTTTGTTCTTTTTTTTTTCTCGCTTTTTTGCATTTTGCATACCAAATGGATTTTTGACGTAAGTGCAACTGCAAACGCAGAGAAAACAAAACAAACTAATGAGCAAAGTATGTGGTATGCGTCCCTGGCTAATGATATTACACAGACGAATGCAGTTTAACTAATAAATATTTAAGAAATAAACATTAATATATACATATGTATAACAACAAGTTGGTCTAATTTGTAAGCAGGCAGAAAATGCTTTGAGCTTTCCTCTTATTGGTAAATGATTTATTTTAATAAGTGGAATTCTGTTGAAGATTTTTCTATAAATAAAAATATAATTCTCTTAAAATTGCTTTCTTTTTTACAAATGTAATATTTTTTCTATTTCAGCAAAAAACGATTTCACTCTAAGTCTTTATTTGATGAAGATGAATTTAAACAAATATGCCCAAGAAAGAAATATACATTGTTATCGATAATTGTTTAATTAGTGGCATTCCTTCCACTTAAGCAGTCACATATCCATATCCAAAGTAACAAAAATATATAGCTCACATTGTAGTTAATAATAACAACAGCTTTAGCCTGTTAAGTTCAGCGTAAAAAGACTCCATTGAAATATATTGTTATCGATAACAGTTGCAGTTCGATATACGGAAAGCCCGCTTTGCACCTAAGTCTCATCTCTATCGATAACTAAGTAAATGGCAATAAATCAGGAATAGATCAAATTAACAAAAGTTCCCACAACATTTTCTATACATGATGATAGAAATATTGCCGAAACGTATCTATAAACAAAAACTTATATATATAAAGATCGACAGAAGCACAGCTAATTATGGTACTTGGATCGCACAATCGATTATCAGTTAACGGTAACTGTCGATATCTTATCAATCAGATATCGCTTCGAGCCATTTGATTAGTCACTGTGACAGAGGCGCAAAATGTGATTTAAAAACAGGAATAGATTTTCGATTACCTGGCAACAGGCTAAATTACGACACAGGGCAGACAAATATATCTGTTGGATTACTATATGTTTACTATATATAAATATGTACACGTGTTCTGTATATAGTAGTGTATGTGGGTATTTTGTGCATTGCACAAACAAATGCCCGGCAAATGTTTATATTTTTTAACCATGCCAAGAATACAAAGCACATTTCCATTTCCATACGTTTTTTTTTTGTTCATCTTATTTGCTCTTTGAGGTCGGATCAATAAAAGCACAGGAAACACATTTGGCAGCATTTAAAAATAGCACTCGACTAAATTATGGGAACTATAAAAAAAAAAAAGGACATGGCTCGACTCACCTTTTCGGCAAACTCCTCGCGCGGACGTCGCGAAATTGTTGACGCATTCATGAGCTCCTTTGTGGGCGATGGTGTCATCTTTGCTGCTTCTACTTTTCGAATTCGAATTCGAATTTGAAGTGTAATTATTGTTAATTAATTGGTAATATTGCTTTTCGTTACACAGAGTTCTACAAGGCGTTACAGTGATCGCTCGCTAATTAGAACGCCAAAATTGCTTCGATTCGAATTTCTGAAAGTTGCAAGAAACATACAAATAATGAATCAAATATTCGATATTGATTTTTTCGCTAGCTTCTAGCTAAGCGAGTGATCACTGTAGCATTAACATTTTTATCAGTTTTGCACATTTTTGCTATAAACAAATTATTGCGTTGTCGCCTAAAAATGTCGCTAGCAAAAAAAAATTGTTCACTGCTTTTTTTTTTTATTTTTTTTTTCTATTTATTTATTTTTTTTTTATTGGCGCTTTGATTATGGCGTCTTGTTGTTGGTATTGGTGCTAGCTGGCGTGACGTGTACCGTTAGTTTTTCTTTACCGTTCGTTTTGCTCACAATTATTTTCGACTTCGAAAGCGACGCCGGCCGGCTAAATTCGAACTGAAGGCTAATTAATTTTGGGCAGCACCGCGAAGCCACGACCTTCAGCACATTTTTTTGCAATTCTAATTGGTTAAGCCTTCGTTTTTTTTTTTTTGTATTTTTGTATTTATGAGCTGCAGCAGTCGCAAAAGGGCCGGCAACGTCATCAGCGACCAAGCGCAACAGTTTGTTGAAGGCGAAATACACTCACACACTCACAGGCACACGCACACACACATGCAGAAGCACAGTCACACATACACACAGTTACACACGCGGCAAACACACGCACACCGGTTAAACTTGTTATCGCGGCATGCAAAAGAACCTAAAACTCTAGGCCACAAACGAGTTCTGGAGCGGCACAGGGCAACACCAGTAACAACAACAAGAAAAGCCACAACGGCAGCAACAAAAGGGGCACCCAGCAACTCAAGTGCTTTATTTTGATATGTTGCCTCTTGTTGTTGTTGTTTTAGTTATTTTTATTTTGGTTTAGAAACATATGTATATAAAACCCTTAAGCACTAGGCTGGAGCACTCGGGCCCAAGCCAAGTGCCTGGATGCTTGGAAATTTACTTTAAATTAAAAACAAACGAAAGTAAATCAACAAAAATGAAACGAAAACACGACACGACCAGCCGCCAACGCGCTGCAGCTTCAAACACTTCAGAAGGCGAGCAACAACTAACAGCCGGGTCCGGGGCCGGCAGTTATAACTGCCGCTTCAGATTCAAAAAGCAGAGGGAGTAAAACAAGAGAAAAATCAAACTGTCAGAGAGCGAGAGTTGCATACTCTACCAATCAGTAATAAGCTATACACTCTTTTGCACTCACTTTCTGAGAAAACTAGATGCTTCAAAAATACCTACGCAGTCAATTCTGAATAATATTTAGCATAAATTAATTAATTCTTTTTATTTATTTAGCACACGCTGTTATTACTTATATGTAGCACGACATGTTTAATGTGCAAGTTGTACTGACCAGCTTGGGAGTGTATAAAGAGCGCATGCTCGAAAAGAGAGCAACAGCAAGAGAGCGCAACCAGCTAATGGCCCATTCACACTGGCACGAACATTTTGCGTGCGTTCACACTGCGCATGGTGAATGATACTTAAAAAAAAGCTTGATTTTAAGCTGCTTTACGTTATGAAAGGTTATTTACGTTATCAGGTCCGTTTATTTAGCTCTTTAAAAAAATGCATATATATATATATATATATTGAGAATTGGCTACGAGAAACTACGCTATGCGTGAGTGATCTGTTGTAATTGGCACTAATACATAAGTAATATATACTAATATCGTTTAGCGGGCGCTCCTCCTTCTCCCCCCTTCTCTAGCTACTTCCCACCACTCGGCTAACCCGCTGTAATTGCATTCTCCACTGTGCGTATCTGGGTCTGCAGCTCCTGAATGTGCTGCTCGAACTTGCTGATGTCGCCCGTAATCTGCTGCAGGCTGACCAAAACGTTCTTCATCTTTTCGCCATCGATTTGCACCTCCAGCTCGCGTATCTCCTTGCTGACGCTGCCCGTGTTGGTGACGCACTCGACCAGCTCGCTGCAATGGGTATGCAGCTGTGCCAGCAGCTTGTATGCCTTCTTGGCGTGCAGATCGTGCTTGGCGCTCTGGAAGAGCAAGTCGTCCGTATAGTTGAATTGGCGTTCCAGCTGGGCAGCCACCACATTGAGCTGCTTCTGCAGCTGCCGCGTGTCCTCCAGCACACGGTAGATGTCCTCTCGCTGCTTGCGTATGTTGCCAATAAATTCGTGTATGCGTCGCGTGTATTCCTTGCGCGGCGCCAGCTGGGTTTGGGTGGCACTGCGCAAGGTCAGCTCGTTGTGCAGCTGGGTTTTGGCCAGCAGCTCCTGCTCCAGCTGCTCTATGGCCAGGCGCACGCTCTGCACCTGCTGCGTTTCCTTCACCGACTTGAGGCTCTCCAGTGTGCTCAGCAATGGACTGCGATAATCCTGCCATTGCTGCGTCAATGTCTGTCGCTTGGCCTCGGTTGCACGCAGCAGCGCCTCCAGCTTGGCAACATTCTGCTCCGGCTCGGCCAGCACCAGGCAGCTGCGCTCGTGCAGCTTCAGCACGGCTTGCAGGCACTCCAATTCCACTGCTGCTGCAGATTCGCGTGCCTTCAATGCGCCTATGCTGGCGCTGAGCGTCTTACGCTGCGCCAACAGCGTCTCGGATTGTTGGCGCAGCTCCTGCACCTTGTCAGCCAGCTGCTGCGCAGGCGCCGCGGTCTCAGCACTGCTTACGACTGGGGGCAGCAGTGGGCTGGGCGGCACGTGCTCCTCCGGCACTGTGGTGCCCAGCACCGCTTTGGGCACCTGGTCGCTCCAGCGTTCCAGGTCGTTTTTGTGCAAGACCGAGGCGATGAGATCGAATGAGCTGCCATCCACCTGCTGGAATAAGTTGGGCGCCAGCTGCTCAAAATACTGTTGCACCTCTTTGCTGCGCTCGGCCAGATTGGCGCCGGGCACATTAAGATTCAGATGCGGCTTAAACTCAATGCACTGACAACTGCATCCTTGCTTACGCCGGTTGGCCACGGAGCGGCAGAATTGCGGCACCCAAGGCGCCTTCAATTGGTCCGACAATTTCTTGCGCACCTCCCGCTGCAGCTGCTCCCGGGCGCTAAGTGCATGCGCCTTGGCGGCGACATCAAGATTTTGCCTCTCCCGTGGCAGTCGTTCAATGAGATACATGAGCAGGCGGCGCAGCTCCACAGCGTTGGGGTACAGAAATATCTGATAGCCAATGTCACCACGATATCCATGTTCCTTGCAGCGCTCGGCCAAGGTTGTTGCTACGCAAAAGCGCTGCGCCATGGCGCCGCCGGGCAGGGAACGTGGCAGCTCCGACATCGAAGGATTGATTTCCAGCAAGCAGCTGGACACAGCGCGCACCACCTGTTCGGGCGTGAAATTGGCCAATTGATCCGTGGGCTCGATGCTGTCATCGATTTGCTGCAGCTGGTGCATAATTATTTTATCCACTTCGTCCATTTTTCCATTTATTTACTATTATTTTGGCATTGCAGTTGAATTGGTCTATTTTTCGATTACGAGCAGGTACTTATCGATAGGTTTGCGAATCGAGCATTCACCGCGCAACGTGAACTCAACTTAAACCAAAAAAAAAATACTGTTTGCTACAATAAGAACATTTTTCAACACTACAAAAGGCGGGTGAATTTGAAAGAGGGAAAATACATGGCCACACAAGGAATTGTAAAACTAATTTAAATTTAAAAACTAATACATTTTATGCACAACTTTATGACCTCCACATAAATTAGAGGACTTCGGCACAAAGAGAAAATCATATATGTGTGGGACTATCCATATTAACGTTTCATCATTGAAGATCGTTAGGATACAGAGAGAGATTTCTTCTACAATTTTATGATATTTGCCAGCAGCTGACCTTTATGTACGCCAAGCCACACCCATATATATAGATAGATATTGAGAATTCGATGGGAAATATCTTTGATCTGCGATTAATTTGACCTCTTAAAAAATATATATAATTTGTAAAATAAAACTTTCGAAAATATCTGGACCAAATTTCGGACGCCGAAAGAAGAATAAGAACAAAGGCATGCGGATTACAGTTAGCAAATGGTTTTCCAACTTGTCCAATTTATTTATCTGGCTCGTTTGGAACAAGTATTGTGTTGTCTCCTATCAGCGCTTATCCAATTGCCACCCCAGACATGGCAGAATTATGAATTCTGTCTGGCCACGGAGCATTTACAAGTTATATATACATTATGTGAGCACATAGAGAGTAGATACTACTGCTGAGACTGGACTGGAGCAAAGGGGCAGATCCTTCCTGGGCCACAGGGATCACAGAAGTTAAAGTTGGCCGCACAGTCCATTCTAGTCACCATTGTTGGCCTTCTTGATAATGATATTTAATGCCAAATTACCATCCTCGGAAAACAGTTCCACCGTCGATTTGTTGAGCACCAGAAAATCGGCATTTGTATAGGTTACGAAACTTTCGCGTATGGAGCGCGGCTTGGACTTCCATTTTAGAGTGCGATTGTTGGCCTCCAATGAAATGAGATAGTCAAAGTCGGCGGCATCGCGCATGGTGCCGATCATGCGACAGGCGGCAAAATACTGCTGACAGCCCTCGCCCAGCTGCACCTTTTCCAGCGAGAGCAGAAAGTGTCTGCCATGACAGGACTGTATCATGGTCCAGTCGAGTGCGCCCACCTGATTGACATTGGTGGCCAGAAAGATGATATCGGTGCCCTCCATGGTGATGACATTCTGATGCGTGCTAACAAAATGTTTGTACACATCCTTGAGTGCACCCTGCCACACGCACTTCTCGTCCGGATAGGGGCAGAAATATGGACGAAATTCACAGTCCTCCTCGTGCGATTTCTTGTCCGCATAGGAGAGACGCACACGGCAGCCATAGCAGGCGTGCTTACAGGGAAATATCAATTTGGAGCCGACCTTCTCCATGGCCAGATTGCGTATATTGCTCATCGGTACACGGCACACGGGACACACGTTCAGCTTGTTACGGCACTGCGAACAGATCAAATGGCCACGCGAACACTGCATTATGGGCGGCATCATATAGCCAAAGCATACCGGGCACTCCAGCAGCGAGACCAGAAACTCTCTCGTTGCCGTCTCGGTTGGTTTCTCGCAGTCACTGCTGCTGCTGCTGCTGCCGCTACTCTCGATCTGGTCCAGCGGCGCCTCCTGCTCCTGGTTGCTGTTGTCCTTTGGCAGCGCAACTGTCGCTGCCTGCGGGGCATCAGTTGCCGGGCGCTGACGACGTGGCTGCATCTCAAGCACTTTCAATCACGTTGGTCTCTAAAAAAAATACCCTATATATATAAGTATATATATATATATAGTGTGTGTGTGTGTGTGTGTGTGTGTGTATGTGTGTATGTGTGCGTGTATGTGTGTGTGTGTGGGTGTGCGAGTGTTTCTGCGTGTGTGTGTGTGTGTGTGTGTGTGTGTGTGTGTGAATCCCTCAGACTAAAAGTGGAAGCACTTTGTAATTTGGCGCGGCGCGATTAGAGCATGCGAAACGGTATGCGTATGCCTATCTACCGAAATGGGGTCTATAAAAAATAAAATCGAAAGTTTCAGAGTTAATTTTTCGTACGCTTGGCAATTTAGTTCTGTTAAAAAAATTATGTCGGGTTTCAATATTACTAAAATTTGTTCGTCTGTTTTGTGGCAATGGATTCATGGAAATGGCCTGGCCTGCTCCAATTCATCTCACATGCTTCCAGTATCTAAGATCGTAGATCATGAAATAATTTCCAAAGGAAAAACCTAAAGGGCACACACACACACACATATCAGGAAATCAAATAAATCATAGTATAATTATTTTTAAAATTTTTTTAGAAAACCGTTTTTTTTTTTTCAAAAAAGTTTTAGATATTTTTTTGCCCCTGGGAGAGGGTTATCTATAATATTACCCAAAAGTATATCGTGAGGATATATACCTTTTATATATTTTTGATCCGAAACCATATTTGTTTCTATGATCTCGACTCTTATCTCTCAGCTTTAAAGCTGACTTGATGAAACTTCGCCCAGATCGAACCCCTATATCATATAGCTGACAGCTTTTATCGCTTAAAGATAGATAGATATTTATATTAAAGCAAAAACTTGTTTGCCTCTTAACATATCTCGACCAAACTCTAGACTAACGAGCTTAAGTCTGCCTCCAACATATAGGCACAGACCTCACCAAATCGGGCTACTATATCATACAGTAACTGTCGGCCTTTATTCTAGTTGCATAAAATATATTCTGCCTTTTTTAGGTATGCCAACCATTTCAGACAAGCTGCACATTGCTCTTAAAATTGGAGGATTATCTTATCATAGAGCTGCCATGGGCTTTATCGTGCGAAAATACCGTTATGTGGTATATATAGAACGAGAAATTACGACTTTTTTCGGCACTACGAAGATTAAATACCCTTCCAAAAACTTGCCTTACAGCGAAGCTCGTTAATATTCAGTTTGGTAAAAATATCTGGGCAACTTCTTTTGCAAACAATTCTTCCCATAGAGCTAAATAATATATAGTTACACTTTAATATATTTGCATTTTATCTTCATTCGATTCGGCGCTTATATAAGCACAAAGAAAAAAACTAGTAAATGTTGGGTTCAGTAACAATATCTTGATAAACAAAAAGTTGTTCATACAAGAACCTAATTTTCCACCGATCGTTCCTATGGCAGCAATACGATATAGACGTCCGATGTTAATAATATTTTGCATATATGTAGAGAGCATTATAAGACTTATAAATGCCACGTTTGAACAAGATATCTTTAAACACAAAAAACTTTCCCATACAAGAACTTAAATTTCGATCAATTGTTCCTATGGCAGCTATATGATCTAGTGATTCGATGTTGATAAGATTTTGTATATATGTAGAGAGCATAATAAAACTTATAATTGCCAAGTTTGGTCAAGACATGTTGAAAAACAAAAAACTTTCCCATACAAGAACTTAATTTTCTATCAATTATTCCTATGGCAGCTATATAACATGGTGGTTCGATCCGGCTTTATCACCCCGGCAGTTGTTGCAGATCGGGTATATTACATTATACTTTATGTTGTCGGAGATGTCTTCCCTTATGTTACACATTTCATGACATAATCAAAGTATCCTCTGGTAGGGCATACAAATATATCATATATATATATATGCTGTATGCGTGCAATTTTATAAAAACTTTCGCACTTCGTAGATAAACTTTTGATATTCTCATTCGTTTTCATTGATAAGACTTTTCATTTTACTAATCACGTTTATTTTTCTTCTTCTTTAATTGTTGTTGTCGCGTGTGTGTGTGTGTTTGTGAATGTGTGTGTTTGTATTGGTTGGTTTTTGTTTTCATTAAAACTAAATACATTGCAGTTGCATTAAAAAGAAAAACCGCTTTTCATTCACAATATCCAATTTGCAATTTCGAGTGTTTGCGAAACAAAACAAAATCAACTGTGCGGGAGATCGGTCTAAACTATATAAATTTAAACTTTAGATTGCTTTTGTTTGTTTTTTTTTTTTTGTTTCTTGTTTGGATAGTACCAAAATGTAACTGTCTTTTAATGAGGGGGTGGGAGGGAGATGTTTTTTAAAGAAAAGTAGCTTTGTGTGTTTCGGTTTTGGCATAAACAAAAATTGTCGCAATCGCTTACAACTCTCGAGTTATTACATATTATTATATATATATATATATATATATATTTATATAGATTTTATTCTTGTTAATTTCGTTAAAAGTGATGTTTACTTTTATAGCATTTACAAGTATATTTTGTTGTTGTTTGTATCAAATAATTTACATTAACTAAACTAGGCTGCATTTAGTGTACGTGTGTGTTGGTTTGTGTGTGTGTGTTTGTTTGTGTGTGTTTTTAGGGATGTATTTATGTATTTATGGATGTACGTTATGTGGCAGCTGCCCACGCCGTTCGGCTTACAAACTAAATTAAACTAAAACCCACAAAAAAATAGTTGTATATATTAAATCGCTGTTGAATAAATGTGTTTGTTTGTTTTCCTTCTGTTTTTTTTTTTTTTTCGAAAATGAAACACTAGATCTACGAATTATTGCCAGACGGCAGACGAGACTGACAGACCGACAGACTGACACACAGACAGAGAGAACTGCCGAGCTACATATACATACATGATGTACCTGATGTACATGATGTATATCGAGTATCGTTTTAGAAACGATGCATATTCATCATCATCGACTCCATCATCATCATCATCATCATCATCGTCTTCTTCTTAGAAGCCACATTTAACGATCATCATTGATTAGACCAGAGATATGGTTACATTGATGCCAAGATTCCCGTTATCGGCAAACAGTTGCGCAATCGATGTATCAAACACCAGACAATCCGAATTGTGTATGGCGGAGGCAACGCCCTCGTGTATGGAACGCGGCATTGCCTCCCATGTTAGGCGGCGTCGATTGCCATTTAGTTCCAGTCGATAGACAAAGTTCTCGGCCTCCTTGCGTGATCCAATCAATTGGACAATCGCAAAGAACTGTTGATGTCCATCGTATTTCTCCTGTTTCTCCAGCACGAGCATGAAATGATGGCCAAAGCAGGACTGCATCATAACCCAGTCAACGGCGCCGGGCAGATTGATGTCGGTGGCCAGAAAGACGATATCCTCGCCCTGCAGCGTTGTGATGCTCTTATGGGACATCATCAGATGCTGCATGACTAGATCGAGCGGTCCCTGCCATTTGCACGAAGCGCCCGGACAGGGACATAGGTATGGCCGGCATTCGCAGGTCTCCTCGTGCTCGGTCTTTTCTGTGTAAACAAGCGAAGCGGTGCAGCCGTAGCCCGAGTGCTTGCACGGAAACTTCACATTGGAGGCGACCTTCTCCATGGCCAGGTTGCGTATGTTGGCCAATGGGCCGCGGCATGTTGGGCAGCATGTGAGCTTCGAACGGCACGAGACGCACACCAAATGTCCGCTGGAGCATTGCAGAATCGGCGGCAGCACATAGTCGAAGCAAACGGGGCATTCGAATAGAGATGTTAAATCGGCGGACATGCCCGCATCACCGCCACCGGCGGACGACAGTGAAGAGCTGGACGAGGACGATGTGTTCGCCGAAGATGTGTTGCCAGCACTGGAGCCGGTCGAGCTGCTCGTATTGGTGGCCACCACAGCCGTGGCTGCTGCTACTGCTGCTGCTACTGTCGGTTCACGGCGCTTTGGATTGATTTTATTGGACATTGGACTTGCTTGATGTTCTATCTTTCGGATGTGTTGCCTCCAAATGCTACTCCAGCACTTCGACGGCCCAGCGTCCTGCTGCGTCCGGCAATCAGTCAAACGCGTCTCGCTGCCTTCTTCCGGTTCACTGCAAACAGTATCAAAGTCAATTACAGCTAATATTTTATAATCTTTGCATTGATAACAGGCCCTCTTACTCATGCAATATCTAGCTTCATACAACATTCATAAAACATATATACATTCATTATAATACTAGGAATCAACTTTAAAGCGACATATAGAAAAGTTCTTGCTCTCTGATTGAAGGCAAAACAAAGCATTTTTGAATGTTTTTTAAAGATCAGATTAGGGATAAAACATTAACATTAATGTATAAAACATGTCAATGCCTGGACATAGGTACTTAACCAATCTAAAGAATATATAATCAAATGTTTACAAAGACTTTGTTTATGGACAAATTAAAGACTTGTCCAAAAACCTCAACAAAAAAACAGTCGCAAAATGGGAGACTCTGTGTATTTCGCAAATACGGAAATAGGTGTCGAAAAAGTAAGAAACACTTGAGGTTCAGGTGAAACCAGGTGCTTTACACCATGAAAAGGAAACATATTGATATGATAGCTACCGTTAGAGCCCCCCTCCCAACCGCCCCGTCAATTAATCCTGACCGACCTTCAACTTGGGCGACAGTTGTCGAAACAGCGATTAACATTAATAATATGAAGCGTATAGATTTGAGTTTTTTTGTCATTTGTTGTTGTTGCGCTGCGTCATTGTCGAAGGTTCGAACTGCTTAGCGGGCCAGAATCGGGGTAGGCGTTGGGTTTAGGCCTTAGACGCGTGCATAACCGCGCAAATACACGTATGTCACAGTCTTATCAGAATCGATGACAAATGCGGCCATTAGCCGCGGTGTCCAAGACGTACACAGGAACAGTGTCTCGCAACTGATTGAAATTTTGTCAAAAGGTCGGACGAAAAATGCAAAACAAACAAAAAAGGAACACAAATTTTCGTATTGAGGCAAAGTGTTGAAAAATGCTTATAGTATTTTTTCTATCGATAAGACATATGGCAAGTCTGGCACTTGATGCACTTTTGGCTTGCATGCGCAATATTGTTTCATAAAGTTGTACAGTGGAAGCTCTTTCGAGCGGACAACCACATGAGTACAATAAATGAAAATAGCTAATAGAATAAAATAGCTAGCTGACAGTTTCTTTTTGAAAATTAGTTTCGACGGACACTGTGCTGGCTAAATGAGATGTACGCCTGTTCTTTAGGAAGAGCCTTCACTGTATTATATATTCAATTAAAGCATAAAATCTACATATATGTAAATTTCTGACTATGGTTGGCAACACTGTGCAACGATCCAAAATTTGTGAATGCATGTGTCGGTGTGTGTGTGTGAGTGTGTGTGTGGGGAGCATAAACAAATACGAAGCGACGCGAGCTGCGTCAACAATATGGGCTTCATTTTGTGGCAACTATAAACAGTGAGGGCGGCGAGGGGGGCAAGCGGGCATAGTTGGTAGCGGCACATAATTAACATTTGGCTCTGTTGGCTGCGTACCGTAAGAAATTTCCATGCGGCAGTCGGTGGCAGGGGCAATTACTGCTGCAGCGAAGCCATGAATGTAATTAAAGTTGATTTTTTTTTCAATGAGTTTGCAAAATCAAATAGAAAACGTAGACGACGGAAAGCAGAGCGATATGTTAGCAACAACAACTAAATCGGAACAACAACAATGCAAATGTATATAAAAATAAACAGCTACAAAATAATCATAAACGTAAACTTACAAAGCTCTGTGTAAGGCGTCAGTGTGTGTGCGCGCGTGTGTGTGTGTGTGTGTGTCAGGCTTTTATCAGTCAGTCAGCATGTGTGTGTGTGTGTTAAGTGTGCACATATATATATATATATATATGTATTTATATACTGCTGTATATATCCTCGGCTATGTATGTATGCGTAAATCAATGCAATTGCAAATGCAATCGCAGGTGGCAGCACTTTCAGGTTCGCACACGCACGACAAACGCACACAAAGAGAAAATTGAAAATTGTTTTCGTCTTTTTGCACTAAAATTTTTATATACATTCACAGTTCGGTTCGGTTCGGTTCACCTTGCGCCAAACTCGAAATTCAGGCGTGCGCTAATTTCATTTTATTTTTTATCTAATTTTCTTTTATACGCTCGCGCACACACTCATTGAATAATATGGCTATATGTACATGTTTGATGCTGCTGCTGCTGCTGCTACGGCTGCGGCTGCGGCTGCTATTGCTGCGCTTCGTATTTGTTGTTGTTGTTTTTTTTCTCAGCATGAATATCATCTGTTTGGGTCGCCTTCGTCGTCCATCGGTTACATTTACATACGGGACGCAACGCCAAAGCAGACAAACGACAACGGCAACAACGACGGGGCAGGGGCAAGAGGCAGTGGCTTGTACTGCTGCTTTAGCCAGTAGCCGTAGCTTGAAAATTTGTTACTAATAATTTGTGCGCTTTGCGTACGCTGCCCGTATTTATTGCACAAACACTAGCTCAAAATCTTTTCTATTTAGGCATTACAATTGCAAGCACAACTATTTAACTATTAGCACGTCACACACGCGTATTTCTGGCTATTTAATTTTATCTTTAATTTGCCTAGTGCTGGGCAAGCACAACAGTGTTGACTAACGTTGTTTCGGTATATTTGGTATTTTAACAACAATTCCAGCTTGGTAGGAACCAAAACAGTCTGGCAACACTGTTAATAAGAATACCAAGTCTAAATTGTTGGAATATGTAACAATTTTAGAATACATAATTACATTACTGAAGAAAATGATATATATAAAGCTATTAGTTTAATTATTTTATCTAAATAATACATTTTTCATACCCTTGTAGCTATTTAGGTATTTTTGTGTGGTCAGCGTACTGTGCATTTGTTCCGCGTATGGCAATACTGCAGTTTAACACTCCGCGGCAACCCTGACGGGTTTAGCGTAATAATTTGTCTGTCACAGAAAAACAATTCAAAAAATAAGCTTGTGTTCGGAGAATTAACAAAACAAATTTTATTGGAACGCCATGTGCGTTTCCAGCATCGCTTAAAGTTTTAAAGAATAAAATATATCCAGTCAAAAATCAATAAGCTCATCAGTCATTCTCGTATCTGGAGCACGGACCAACCCCCAATACGCATGCAGCGAAAAAAATAAAGGAATTGGAGTAATATTGTAAATTGGAGAAAGCAGTCATCATGTTTAAACCAATTGACTTGCTGCACGTGCTAATATTCTGCACATTAGCCGCCTTATGCCTGTGTGCGCTAAATGATCCCTACAAGGAGCTGGGCGTTAGCCACACAGCCTCGCAGCAGGAAATAAGACGCGCCTACAAGCAATTGGCCAAGGAATGGCATCCGGACAAAAGCAGCCATCCGGAAGCCGAGCGAAAGTTTGTGCAAATCAAAAAGGCCTACGAGCTGCTGAGCGACGGGGACCGGCGGCGCATCTACGATCGACATGGCATAACCAGTGAGGATTCGCATTATCTAAAGCAAAAGCATGACTATAGCGGCTACAATCGCTTCGGATTCGACCCGGTCGAAGAGTTCTTTGGCAAGCAATTCGGCTTTGACCAGGACATTAGCCTGTATCACAAGCTATCGGTCACATCCAACTACTTCGAGCACACGATTATACCGAAGAGCAAGAACAAGCTGCACATTATTATGTTCTACAATGACTGGTGCTTTGGCTGTATACGGATAGTCGGTGCATTCAAGAAGCTGATCGACACATTCGAGCCCTTGGGCGTACACTTTGCGACCATCAATGCGGCGCACGAGCCGACCATTTTGCGCAAGACAGGAGCGGATGATATACCCAGAATGGTGCTGGTCCTGGCCGGACATAGCTATGTTTATCGCGAGAATATCTATACCCAGCAGAAATTGGCCGAGTTTATACGCAAGAAGATGCCCTTTAAGATTGGTCAGCGTGTCAATGATGATAATCTCGATGAATTTCTAAATGGTTGGACCGATAATCGGGTGCGTGCTCTGGTCCTGGAGCCAAGGAGCATAACCAGATTGAGATACCTGATAAGCGCCTTTGGCTTTCATGATCGCGTCGCATTCGGCTTTGTCGACCTGACCAGTAAGGGCACCAAGTTGATAGCGGATCGCTTTAAAGTAAATCCCAAATTGGATACGCTCTTTCTGTTCAATGAGGACTCCTTGCGGGCTGTTGCCAGCATATCGATGGCCGATATACCCACCCAAACGCTGGATAATATCATCTCGACAAATCAATTTCTATCGCTGCCCCGGCTGTCGTCGCAGGATGTGCTCGAAGGTGTCTGCCCGGCCGAGTGGAACAGGCCCCGGAAGCGATTGTGCGTCGTACTTATAACAGAAAACTCACCTGAATATGATATAGCGCGTGGTGCACTGCGACACATTGCTCTGGAGTCGGGCTACAGTATGGAGAGAGTTCGCTTTGCGTACATGTACAAGGAGAAGCAGGCCGAGTTTCTCAATGCAATTTCCAAGGGCTCGTTCGAGGACAATCTCCTGAGACTTGTGGTCATCTGGCGGCGTGACAGCACCCAAATCAAATACGAATGGGTCGATGGCGCCAAGCTGGACATAAAAACAACAGATTTTCTGAATAATAGTGCAATCAATACGACAAAACATGAGATCAATCTTACCATACAGAGACTTCTGAAGACATCCGAGGCGCTGACCTATGAGGCATTCGTGCAGAACCTGCTGGACGAACACGCTCAGGGCATATTGAGCAAATGGATCACTAGATTACTTTATCTGGTCGACTATCTGTCCGATAATATTGAGGATGAACATTTGTTTGCCGCCTTATCGCTGTTGGGCACCATTGCATTTATGTTCGGCATCGGATATGTCATGATGTACTTTGTGCGCGCCGAGGAGGAGAGTCTCAAGGCCCAGGGTCAGCTGAACGAGGGCCAGTGCAATAAGCCGAGCAAGCCTGTGCCGGAGCTGAAGCTCTACGAGCTGCGCGCCGAGAAATATAATGGTCTGGTGCGTCTGCTCAAGCCCGGCTGTCGCACCATTCTCCTGATTACCGATATGCAGAGCCGTACGAAGTTAATTCCGCCTTATCATCGCGCTGTTTGGCCTTATAGGCGCACCAAAACTTTGCTCTTTGGCCACATGCTGATCGAGAAGGGCCTGTCCTGGTACTCGGAGCTGTTGCGCTTGTCGTTATGCACAAATCAAAGCCTTAAGATCAATCCCAGAAATTGTGTGGGCACCGTTATAGCCTTAAATGGACACCGAAAGTATTTCTGCGTATATCATGCCAAGCATCCGGAATGCGCGCGCGGCACCAAACGAATGATTAAAATGACTAAGCAATTGCTGGATAGAAATGATGATCCGGAAATTGGAAACTTTCTGGGTGTCAACTATTCGGAGGAATCGGATGTTGAGTCGAATGTTCTGTTCGAGGACAACTTGTTGGATGGTCTGAGCAACTGGCTCGATCGCCTGTTCGAGGGCACAACACACAGATACTACATTAACTATTGGCCAGATTTTCCCACAAAGTAGACACGTCCCGATCAACTATTTATGTAAATTACTTTGTCAGCCCAATTTCCTGTAAATCCTTGTCTAGTCAATAAAGATAATACGTATTACTATCAGCTACACACATATAATTACGAAGCGCCGAATCTCTCATTTATCCAGTTTCCTCTTGGACTGATCTGAACTCGAAGGAGCGTGGAAACTGCCAACATGATGCTGTATTAACTATTTGTATTAATAATCTTAGCATAATTTATGTTTCACAACCAAAGAATAAATAAACTTTAAGTGCATTATTACATTAGTTAAACTGAAAGTCCAAAGTTCTTTTATTCGGTATTTGGGTAATATCCTTGACATACCCATGCGATTGAATCCATTTGTTAAGCTCATCTCTTAAACTAAACTAATTAATTGTAATTGGGCTCCATTAGCGAGTGCAGCCGTATCACAGCGCGGTAGTCATTATGCGACAGCTGACCGCGTCGCGAACGCTCCAGCACGCGCTGCAGTCGCTCCAAGGTCTCCCCATTGGCCGTCAGCTTGAACAGTTCGTCCAGATATTTGAGCGATTCACGCGACCAAAACATGGACGGCTTCGAGGCATCCGTATTGATGCGCGCATCCCCACGCTCCATGCCAGCCAGCAAACGAAAGCATTCCGACTGCAGCGGACGATTGCGTTGCAGTTGCAGCTGCAACTTGGCGGGTGCACGTTGCTGCATATTGTTGCAGGGCAGCTGCTGTTGGTGCTGCTGCTGCTGCTGCTGGACTGGACCTGGCAATCTGGCATATGGCTGTAAGCGCTGCTGCTTACCCGGCCTTTGTCTGTTGTGGTTGTTGTTGTTGTGATTGTTGTTGTTGCTGTTGTTGTGTTGATCCCCGTGCTGCCAAATGGGCGGCAGCGGCCGTTTCTGCTGTCCAGCGAACTTGGCCTGCGGTTGTGTGCGTGGCTTTGGTGTGCGATTGTTGTGTGGTTGCTGCTGCTGCTGTTGCTGTTGTCCGGCGGACGTGACCTGTGCTCGCTCATCATGTTTCCAAACTGGCGGCGGCGGCGGTTGCTGCGACTGATCCGACCATTTGGCTTGCAGCAAAGCACGTTGCTTGGGCGAACGATTCTTGTTAGCGTCATGTGCCCATGCAGGCGGCGGCGGCGACGTCATGCGTTCTGTGCGCTTCTGCCCAGCCGGCGGCGGCTTGTAGGCGATTTGCTGACCCAGCAGCGCCGGCTCTATATTGAGCGTAGACATGCGATTCTTGACATCCAGCTTGCCGTAGCTCTGCAGCAGCGCTTCATAGTTGGGATGCGGAAAGGGACTGAAAATGATGCGCCAGTGCTCCTCGATTTCATTGCGCAGCGCGGGCGAGGCATTGTCATCGGCAGCATGCTCCTCCAGCAGACGCTTGAGTATGATCAGCAACTGATCGAGATGCATGTTGCCATTGCAGAGACCCGCCTGTCCGAATAATATCATGTTGAGCAGACGCCGCTTGCGTTCGGCCAGTTTGTAGCCGTTTTTGGTATTCATTTGCTCCAACTCCTTGATGCGAAAATAATGGCTTTTGGCATTGCCAAGATCGCCCGTTAAGCTATTGATGCCATCGCGCATGAAGCGTATGAGCACATCGATGCGCTTGGGCGGTTTTTGGCTTTGGAATTCGCTGCTCTTGCGCTTGACATCCTGATTGCGACGCAACAGCATCAGCTGCAAATCCTCCTGGTTCTTTTTCAAACCGTAAATGACCAACACGTAGCCGTATTCCTTGAAATCCATGCGCACATTCACATTACACTGTTTGGCCGAAGCCGTTAGGAACTCGCGACCCTCTGGACTGAACAGATATTCGGTTTGATCGCGTGCCATCAGAATCTTAGCCTCCGACGGCAGATCTGGCAAGCCCTCCGATTCGTTGGTCGCGGATGTTGCTGATGACGATGGCGCCTTGCTATTTACGCACATGGAAATGCCTTGGCTGCTGTTGCTTATGTCGCCGCCATCCCCATCCCCAGCCTCATCTCCATCCCCATCTCCATCGCCAGCCGAGCTGAGAGGTATAATATCGGGCAGATTTTCCAGGGGTCCAGTTTTCGTCTGCGCCTGCACGTGCTCAGCTTCATTTGATGTTGTCGTCGAGCTTGGCACTTCAAAGTGCTCCGAGAAGCTGTAATTCGAATCAGAGTCCAAGTCGTGTGGTGTAACTGTGGATCTGCTAGCTGCTGTGCTCAACTTGCTGCTGGGTCTGTTGGCCGCTTTAGCTGCTTTGGGCTTGCTCTGATAATTGCTGCTAATCTCCTCCTGCTGTATCTGCACGGGTTCTGCAACTGTAGCAGCTGCTGGCTCTTCAGCAGGCTCCGCTGGCGGCTCCTCGATTGTCACAGTCGAAGTAGCTGGTGCTGTGCCACGCGCGGCTCTTGCCTGTGGATTGGGCACATAGTCATTCGTGTAGACTTTCAGGTGCATCGTTGGAGCGAACTTCTTGCGCTTGTCTACGGGTCGAGCCAAGCCAACTGCTTTGAGAAAACGCGCATAGCAGCTGTTCCTTGAAAACTCCGAGCTCCAATTGAAATGAAAAGGCGTATCGATGTCAAAGAAGGAGCGCAGATCTGTCAGATAGCTAATAGGTCCACTGCGATCCTTGTAGACCTTCTGATGCGATATAATGCGACTGGTGTAGTTCGTATTGCGATACTCTCCAATGCGATGACGACACTCCTCAAACAGATGACCGCGCGACGAGCAATAGCTGCAGTGCTTGACACGATACTGCACATTGCTCTCCAAATGTGCATTGGTGCGGGTCTGTGAATAGATTAAGAGATTAATTAAGATTGATAGAAAGTGGTAAGAGTCATTTAAGCTTACGGTGGAGTGATAGCGACGCCACTTGTCGGGACACATGTCGGTGCTGTGGCCACGCATCTTGCACAACTGGCAGACCATGCGACTGTGAAACGAGCATTTGTTGCACTTCTGCACATACATTGACTGTTTGGCGCCGCACTGTAAAATATAAATTATTGTTATTCGTGTTAAAATGGAAAAACTAAAAGGCAATTCATTAGATTGTACTGTTCTCAACAAGTTAAAGCTTCAAAAAAGGAATAGATAGAACCATAAGATGCTCTATGAGAAAGAGATCCGATCGGTCACGAGCACGGGTCCAGTTATGTAGCTATAATGCCCAAGCTGAAGTCTGTACTCTATGAACTTGGCACTTACCCCCAGGCAGATGGCGTTCGGGCAGCGCGGTTCGGCGTGACCTGTCATGCCGCAGGTGTAGCAAACGACGGGCTTGCGTGGACGCGGGCACTTCGAGCGCATGTGGCCCATTTCAAAGCAGTTGGTGCACTTCAGATTCGAGCGTTTGCGCATCACAGGAAAACGATCTGCATTTACTATGCGCCAATCGCTGCGTTGTCCTGGAAAAGAGAAGAGCATTAAGCGATTTCAATTGTATTTGAATAAAGGATTCAACACCTACCTGACATGGCTTTTAGTATCTTATGTAAGCTAATATTCTCGCCATGCCAGCTGTCATTGTAGAAGCGACACATTTCATCATTCCAACCAACCAAGTCTCCGCCGCGCAGCTTTTCCTTGAGCCCCGCCATGTTGTGCTCCACTTGCACCAAAGCTAGTTCTGGTTCTGGTTCTGTCTCTGGCTGCAGATCCATGCTATTCACTTCAGCTTCAGCATCCGCCGCTTGCAAGTCCAGCTCTGTCTCTTGTTCCGGATCCGTGGTGCTGACCACCTGCTGCTGTCTGTTATCCGGAGAACTCTGCTTGGCTTTGGCGCGTCTTGTATTCTTGTCAATGCGCTTGAAGACTGCGCTTATGCGCTCCGTCATGGCATCATTCATCTCAGCCTCATCCTCAGTGTTCGCGTCGGAGCCAATGCTGTCCATTGCCTCATCGCTCTCACAAGCCAGCTGCGGCTGAGTCTCTAGCGACTGCTGCTGTTGCTGTTCCGGCGGGTGCTCCTTTTCCTGCTCCTGCTGCAGCAGTCGCTCGGCAATTTGTCGTGCCGTGGGCAGAGATTCTTCAGCCCCGGACTCCGAGCTGGCTTCCTCCTGCACGGGCGCTCTCTTAGCATCCGCTGGAACGGCACTATCTGAGCTGCGCCTTTGACTGATTCGTCGAATCTTACGCTTGCAGCGCTCCACAGCCATGCCACGGGCTATGCCCGGCACGCCCGTTGCCTGGACACCAGCATCATCGCTGTCCGTGTCGTCGTCATCCTTATCGCACTCATTGTTCGGATCAGATTGGCTTTGGTTGGTGCTCGAGGCGCGTCGCTTGCGCAGACGCTTCGTTTTGTTCACAGTGACCTCCACGACCTGCTCCACGTCCGTTGTATCCGACTCGGAGTCGACGTTGCGTATAATTGTGGGCACAACCTTCTGCTTGGCCTTGCAGTAGACGCCGCTCTCGGTGAGATCTGATTCGCTCTCGTAGACATCAAGTGCGCGGAATTGTTGCTCATCCACGCGATAGTTTTGCTTGATCTCTTCGAGCCTGGATGGCGGCACGAATTCGTATTCGGATGAGGTGTCTGCCGCCTGCTCCCGCTCCGCTTGGCCGGCCGGCTCGGCAGCCTCTCTGATGGCATTTTCCGTCAATACCAGAAGATCCTCGTCCGTGGCACGTGCCCGTTCGGCCAGCAGGCGGCGGGTATCATTTTGCACAATAAAATCATCGCTGGACAGCACCGAGCTGCAGGGCGAGTGCAGCTGCGGCGCCATGGACAACTGCTCTGTGGCGCACTCACCGCCCAGACTAACATCGGCCGCATCCATGGCGTTCTCCTCCAGATAATGCTGTGTGGTCGGCTGCTGCTGCTGCTGCTCCTCGTCGTCGCTGGCGTCCACGTCTATGATGGGCACCGGCGGCAACGGCACAATCATCACGTCATCCGCATCCGAGGATTTCTCACTGTCCACGAGATCGATAAGTTCCAAGGGCTGGCCCTCCGAGTTTGGCTTCAGTTTCTTGTTGGTCTGCACGCGCTTGGACTTTTGTCGCTTCTCTGCCAGACGCTGGAACTGCTCCAGCTTGCGACTGGCCTTGCCAAACGGACCTGGCTCACGTTTCACTTTCGACCAATTTGGTGGTATGGCCACCAGCAGGCGTTGATCAAAACGTTCCGGTTCATCGTAATCATTCGCATTTGTATTTGAGGTTGAATGCGGTTTCGGTGGTTTTTGTACTTGTGGCTGTTTCTTCTGCGGCTGCTGCTGCTGCTGCATCTTTGGTGGTTGACGCATTTGTTGTTGTTGCTGCAGCAGCTGCTGGACTGGATTGAGACCTTTGGGCTGTTTCGACTGTGGAGCAGGCTTTTTGGGACCGTTCACCTTCTTTGGCAAGGCGTGAGCAGCAGCAGCGGGTGGCGCAACAGGCTTATCCTGCTCCGCAGTGGATCGGGGCTCCTCTGATGTGGCAGCTACGGGAATATTGAGAGGGGAAAAAGTCGTTTATTGGCAGAACGAGAAACGTTTTACTTTTTATTGCTATTAACTGGTAGCGTTAAATCAATGATGTACATTTATTTGTCATTGTTAATATCCAGGCGGATTGAGCAAGCATTTTAAATGCTCGTTACGAATATCTCTGTTATCGGGTTGACTCAAACTATAGCCCTGACTTTTGAGCTCGTCCAGCTGCCCCTCGTCAATGTGATAGAGTATGAACGCGTCCATTTGGAGATCGGCTCGATTGGGCCACAACAGCACAGCCACCGAGCTGCGAAAATCGTTAACAGCTTGATGGATCTGCTGATGGGATGAGTGCAAGTCCTCTAGCATTGCCATTTCCTGTTCGTTCTGCCGTCCCTGTCCAGTAAAGCGTTTCTGCATTTGCAAAGCATTCTCGAGCTGTTGCACCAAACGCATGACCACAAATCTTCTATAGCGCTCTTCAAAGTATTGCCGGGGCTTATTGTAGCGGCACGTGTTGCGCCTAATAAGTGTCGAGAGTATTGTGACCTCGACACACGACATCACAACATGCACAACAACAGCCAGAACAATACCGGATAAAATATATTCCACCGGTTCCCGGCGTATCTCATCGAGCCAATAGATCAGATCATAGCCATAATGGACATAATAATAGTCCATTAATGTTACGATACACAACAGCTTCAGCATAATTAGCACAACAATATTGTAATTGATATCGCTTATCTGACTGAGAAGGGTACGTGGAATGGCCATCATCACACGGAGCATGATTGCCAGCCAGAGAATTCAATATGTAATTTTGAATGTAAATGCTTGTGCTACACAAAATGAATTTCGAATTTTTCTAGGCAACATCGATTCTAAATGTTTTACCCCTAACAAATCTCAATTTAAGATGGACATGATATTGATTGATTTTAAGACCATTTTAATTTCGTCATAACTCCAAATATATATATATATATATATATTGGACAGTGTTGCCAACTTCCGCTGCAAGCATTTTGCTAAATTGGCTTTTGGAAATAGCCAAATTTAGCTTTTAAACAGCAGAATTTGCAACACTGATTGGAACTATGTTGCCAACTATGTTCTTCCTAATATATATATTGAACAAAATGTTGCCAACTTTTTTGCAACGGAACAAGTAGCTAAGTTAGCTGTTGTATGTAAATAGCCAAATTTAGCTGGAAAACAGCAGAGTTGGCAACACTGATTGGACCTGCGCTATGGTTCTGCAAGAGTATTTTCATTTTTGGTGCGCTAGAGCTAACTGTTTCTTTCCTATTGGTATGTATCCACATATACTATATAAAATCGTACTTACATTCAACAGGCGCGCTTGTCTTTGATTTTGAGGCATCGTTATGCGTTACAGCTTCACTTTTGGCTTCTTCCCAGTAACGGGGTTTTGCTACCGCATTGTTGATCACACGCTTGCCGCTGACAATGCGGTGCTGTTGTTTTTGTTGTTCCTTTTGCTGAGGCGGTGGTGGCATACTCTGTGCGTCCATGTCCATGTCCAGTGTCGTATGTGGTTGCTGCTGTTCGCTGGTTGCATCATTGTAGTGTATGGACGCATAAAGAATTGATTCCAGCTCATTCAATCGCTCACTGTCCATTTCCTCAAGCTGCAAACAAAGAGAATTCGAGTGAATATGCTTGCACATACATTTCTCAGTGTGTAGATATACTAACATCGCTCATCATGCCAGTCTTTGATATATTTTGATATCACTATAATTGTTTTGGACATTAAAAAGCGTATCTTGTTATTTTTATATTATTTTTTTTTTTAGTTTTACACAAAACCACGTTTTGACTAGAGATGAAAGAATTGTTGCTCATGTAACGATATATCGGCAATATCGATTCAACAAACAGTGTTGAACAATGCGAGAAATCGATAAGTAAAAGAGCATACCTTACCGCTTGCAGGCCGGCCACGTACAACTACAAGAAATTAACAAAAATTAAAATACCAATTGAACGTGAGTTAAACAAATAATATCTAACATAATTACACTCACCTGTTGCATTTGTTTATGCAGCATGGAGACAATGCAGCGCTACGTTTCGCCCATCAACCCAGCGGTCTTTCCACACCTAGCCACAGTGCTTCTCATTATTGGTACATTTTTCACAGCCTGGTTCTTTGTTTTTGTTGTCTCGCGCAAGAGCACAAAAGAGAACACATTAATTAAGGAGCTCCTAATCAGCCTGTGCGCCTCGATATTCCTCGGATTTGGAATTTTGTTTCTTTTACTAACCGTTGGCATATATGTATGAGAAACGAATCAATTGTTAGCATTCCGATTTTAAGATAAATATATATATATACATACATGAATAAAATTATTAATGCGCGAGCGAACGTACGTTGGGTTTATTCATATACATGTATGTAATTTCAAAGATTCAATTTAAACTTAAAGCAATACCGAATATATTATAATAACATATCAATTGTGTGCGGATTGAATATTAGTTGCACTTGAAAACTGCAAATGAAATTATTACTGCAATATACTGGACACATCCTTCACATCCTACTAGCCAGCCAATCCCGCCTTTTGTCTACATTTTTGCATTGTAGCACGCAAAATGAATTGCTTGCGAGATAGTGTGCGCACATGCTTCAAGAACGTCTCAAGATCAATAACTCCGCCGCGCAGCCCCTCGCCTAAATAGTAGATGGCATCCTCTGTGGCAGCTTCATCAGCGTAGGCATTGAGTAATCTATAAAATGGCCAATTAGTCACAGGACACAAAATTGAATATGCTCTCGAATCACTAACTGTCTATATAATGGTGCAGTTGTGGTAACTGCCTCGTCAGGATCAATGGCTTCTGCACTCTCGAGGGTCTCCAGACTTTTCTTCAATTCCTCCTCCTTATCCCTCAATATGCTAATGTTCTTCTGCAAATCAACTTCCTCCCGCTCCAAGCGAGTTACGATGGCATCAATCTTGGCACTACCCTCCACCAATTCTTGCTTGGTGCGATTCAATGTTTCGATTTCAGCTTGATACTGATTTACCTTCTCCTGTATGCGACGCCTCAACTTGTCCTCGACGGCGCTAATAAGTGATGCCTTAATGTGCTCCTCTGTAATCGTGCCCGTTGAGCTGGGATTGGCATTACCCGCGGGATTCTAAGACGAGGAATATATATTATCTATATTGTTTATCCATCGTAGTTTCGTAACACTCACATATCCAGCGGCACCCGGATAGACTCCTGGCTGTGGGTAATTCATGTAGGGCTGATAGCCGGCGGAGTTACCTGCCGGTCCACCAGTCGCTGGGTAGGACATATAGCTGCCACCAGTGGGATATGGCGGAAAGTTACCACCGCTAGCGCCAGTCGCGCTTGGATAAGGCAGAAACTGATTTGAGGCACCTGGACCGCCTGGCTGAGGCATGAAAGCTTAAATGCGAGGCATCAGTGCATGAAAACATTCAAGATTGATTTGCACTTACAATTTGATGGATATGGCGCGGCAACCTGCTCCTTCGGCTTGGAGTAAACGGGCGGATGATCACCGAATGTCACAATCATAACCTGTATAAGCGATAGCAGATCCGAGCTATGCGGCTGCCAGTCGTGCAAGTAGGGCAAGTACACCTTACCATTGTGATCCACATACATGGACACCTTGATCTGCATGGTTGGCGTTGGTTTCACAAAGCACATGGGCGCATTTTGTGGATGGGTATCCATCAGCCATATGCATATGGGAATGTAGTAGGTGTTGTCTGTGAAATCAATATATATATATATATGTTTTGAATCAGTTAAAATGTTCACTTACTTTTGTAGACCACCGGAATGGTGCCCTGCAGCGCGAACAAATCTTTTGAGCTTCCATCGTTGAAAACTTGGGGGAGAAATTGTTTATTATTATTTGCATAATCTTACTCATGAAAAATGCCACAGCTCACCAAATTTTTGCAGGTCATATGTCAGACTGCGATACGTGGTAACGACATCGACAACATCTTTCCTGGTGGCCGCAACATTTTTATACTGTGAATGTGTGGTCATTAATTAATCAACAATTTAATATTGCGTGACGGGCAACAGGACGGATAATGCCCACCGAGAACATGACTCATCGTACCTTTGATAGATATTTGGTGATTTGTGCCTCTTCTATGGCAGGCATTATAGTTCGTTAATAATAAGTCGAATTTAGAGTTAGCACCTGCTGCTATAACAATGATTTTAAAACAAATTTCTTTATAGTCGCAGAACGAAAACAAAGTCGTCGATTGAGTACTTTTGATGTGACAGCATCGAGTACATTGACACAATTATCGCATATGTACGATAACATTTTATATATATATATCGATAATCAGTGCATACGTTATATGTGCGATTGACTCTAGCATTACGAAAGCGTTACATTTCACAACATTCAAAAAAAAGTTAATGCGAATGGCTGGAAGAAAATATAAATTGATTTTTGAGTTTGTGCATACAAAAAGCCATTTAAAAAATGATTGTTTATTTGTGAATTAGTTGCTACAAATATGGAAAATGATATGTTCAACGTCTTTCTTTCTTTCTTTCTGTTGATGCAGATAAATGGAGCGATTGCCGGCAGTGTTAACTTTGTCTTAGGCGCAACTATGTGGCATTTGGGCGTCTGTAAACAAATAAGAGCACAAAAATCATAATTTGTAATAAATTGAAAAGTCGCCACATAGGCTTGGCTTTGTATCTTAAGTGTTACTTTATTTGAATACTTTCGTTTTTGTCTCTTTACTCATTAGGCATATATGCATATATCTATATGCACATTCATATATACATATATATATATTAAATATATATCTATATATTAATATGCATATAGCTATATAATTTACGTGTGTGTTTTGCTTAATTTGTGTCAGTGTACTTAGCCAATGTTCAGTTAACTAGGCATTACTATAGGTATTGTTCATTTGTTACTTTTTAAATATATAATATATATATATATTTTATATAAATATGTATTTTTGCAATAGGTTTAAATATATATATTATAAAAATCATCATCATCATCGTCGCGGTCGTCGTCGTCGTCGTTTTAAGCGCACTCGCTTTCTCATTGTGGGTGGTAGTTAAATGTAGTTGTTAAATTTGTGGATTACACATATAAAAATAATTGTTCAGTTTTACTTGCGTTTCTCTTACGCTACACGTATATTATGTGTATTTTATTTATTTATACTATGTACTTCTTGTTTGTGTACTTGTATATGCTGGAAAATGTGAGGGAGGCAGATAGAGTATCTAGGGCATACGACTTACGACTAAAAACCATTAAATAGTTTCAACTCATTCTTTTCTTTGTTATCAGCTTATCTGCATTAGGTTTACATAAATTAAATGTTATTGTTAGAATACAAAATGGTTTCGCTCGTATCATCTATATATATATATATATATATATATATATTATATATATATATATATATATATATATATTTATATATATATATATATATATATATATATATATATATATATAGTATTTTCCATTATTTTTATATTTGTGCTACGTATTTGCATTAATTATTGCTTTAATCGGCGCCTGCATATTTTTCAAAGTTCCAATTTTAATTTCACTTTCAATTAGTTAATTCCTCTGTTTTGTTAGTTACAGTCGTTAAGCGTGCAAAACAAATGGCCAATTATCAAGTATTTTCAAATGTTCGTATCAATTCAGTTTCTTCTCATTATTCATCATGGTTTCGGTTTCATTTCTCTTTTGGCACATTAATGCATTCATTGCCGTGCGTGCTCGTTAAATTAGTTAAACAAGTGTTTCATCATAATTCTTCATAAATAACAACACATGCTACAGACTCACAGTTCTAAATGTTTACGAAACGTAAGTGTTTTAACAACAAGTGAAGCGTGGGCGTGGTCGTCGTCTGTGTGTGTGTGTGTCTATGTATGTGTGTGCACAATATACATATAAAATATTTTAGATAGCAACGTTTCTTTCTCTGTTTTATTTTATATCAAATTAATGCAAAATTGTACATAGTTAGCGAGCGCAAAATAAAAATGCATTTGCACGGATATTTCAAGTCGATATATATATATATATATATATATATATATATTTTTTTTTTTTAAGGTTTGTTCTGTTCCACCTGCTTGGGTGATTTATTCCGTGTTTTTGTTATTTTGTATTTTTGTTTTTGTTTGTTTTTTAAAGTGTATCGAGAAAAATTTGTTCTAAAATGTCAGTCTATTGCGCAAGAATCTACTTTTGTGCTCGGCTTAGTGCTACACCGAATTCCTAAGTTTAAATGTTGCAGTTGTTTATTTTCTTTTTCTCCGTTTCTTCTTGTCTTCTTTTTTCATTCGTTTTTTTTTTTTATAATTTATATATAAAAAAATTCCCTAATATGCATTGTCATTATCGTTTCAACGAATGCGACTTTTTCGCATTGACGGCTGTCCAACTCGTGTGGGTGTATCTCTGTGTGTGCGGGAGTGTCTCTATGTGTGTGTGTGTGTATATCTGTTTGTTTGTGTCTGTGTTTGTGTGTGTTTGTGTGCAAGTATTTGTGTCGCGCTGACATTTGATGTTAGCTCGATAAGACCTACATACATATACATACATATGCCCAGAATTGGGATCATTGTCACGCTACTGCCACTACATGCTGATAATTGCTACATCTACGGGCTACTTTCTGGCTTGATAGGGGCAAGGACTTAGGCTAGCTTCGTGTACGCGTAGGCGGCAATGACGCCGACCACAACGCCAGCGGCAATATATTTGAGTAATGACCTTCGTTTTTTCGCCGCCTGCTGATTGTCCTCGTTCTCACGCTGTTTGCGTTTAATTTCGTTGACTTTATGCTCCAGATTCGACTGGTATTCGTTGCGTTTTCGCCGCTTCAGCTCGTCGCCGGTACTGTGAAAGTTATATAGACATTACTAATATACCGTTTAACCCTTATAAATATGTATGCAGTCAGATGTACCTCGCTGTCAAATCAATGCCATTGACCTTATGCTGATCCACTGCAGTTGGCTTCTCGCTGTTGGCATTGACATCATCTTCGTGTGGTTGCAACAAGATGACATCGCCATTCGCTTGCTGTTCATTGATGTTCTCGTACTCCTCGTCCTCGTCGTCCTCGTTCACATCGTATTCCTCATTGTCATCGCTATCCGATTCCTGTTCGCTGTGCTGCGGTAACGTGGGCAGCGGTGGCAGTGGACGATTGTTAAGCAGACTGTCTGCCACTTCGGCATTGACAATCTCTGGCTGATTGATAATAATGTTGTTGAGCGCATCCTTGCTGCTCAAGGTCTGTTTATCGCTGATACCATCCCCGTCGCCCATGTTATCCCCATTGGCCTGTGCTGCATGCATGTCCAGGGAGAGCACCCCACCCGTGATGGGCGCCAAGGGCAAGTTCAGCGAATGGGAACGGGGTGGCAATGGTGGCGGCTGTTCCTCCTGTCCGTGTGAGTCCATGTCGTTACTAATGATTGGCTCCTCGACACCCAGAAAGCTCTGCAAATTACAAAAACATATCCGTTAGCAAGACGTGTCTCAGCGCGGACTAAATATTAATTTCGCTTAAAATGAAAGTAGTTACAATTGTTCTTATATTCGACTTGGAACATCTAATTTTGGGCGTACGTAAAACAAGATTTTGATTTTGAGCACGATTTTAACTTTTACCCAAAATTCAACAACAAACAATTTATACAATTTTAGTTTTCTGTAACAAATTCTTATACAAAATGTTCAATTTTGCTCCACGAAAGCCAGCTTAATGACAGGTATGACAAGACTTCCATATTACTCTGGCTTTGCCAAGCTTGCTCTGTTTTTTTAGATTTAGTTTTGAACGCAATTGTTTAGTTCAACAAAGTTAATGTACGTACGGGATCGTTCAGTTTTTTGATGCCCTCAATGATTGCCTGATATGAAAAGTCCCACTGATCGGCCGTCTGGATGAGACCCATTCGATAGCTGCGCAGCTCGCGCAGCACTTGCGACACATTGCACTCGCCGTACTTTTCCACAAGCACCAGACAGCAGTCGACCAGGCAAAATGTGCCGGAGCGACCAATGCCGGCACTGCAGTGTACCACGGCTGGGCCCACATCCGCCGCCAGAGCGCCCGAGTCGCGCACCAGCTGTAAGAACTTTAGAAAAGTATCCGGCGAGCTGGGTATGCCAAAGTCTGGCCAGGTCGTATAATGGAATTGCATAACCTCGCGGCTTTTATTCGTTTCGAGATCAGTTAATCTGTAAAGGAATTCGCATCATTGTCTTTTTTAGATCCTCTCGTATTTTTGGCTTTGCTCACTTGAACCACCGCCGCACAAAGTTCTGATAGTTCTCGCAGCAAATTAGTTCCACGGACAATTTGACATCCTTCAGATTGAGCGCCTGCTTGGGCCCCACCTGATCCGGCCAATATAGATGGCATTTAACTTGTTTCTTCTCCACCAGCTTGTTGAGCATAAGAATGGCGCGTGAGTTCTGCTCCCAGACCATCAGCCAGAAATGACCCACCGTATCCAGCAGCGGACCCTGTGTCAGTATATATTGACGATCGGCGCGTTCCAGCTGCAACAATATTACGATATTATAGAAAAACGTTAGCTTGAATAACGTGCTTCCAACTCACCTTGACCAGGTTGGCATTGATGTAATCTACGCTGCTGCGTTTCAGCACAATGCGCGAATGATCATAGGGATTCACATCCCGATAACGGTTCAGTCCCCGATTCGGCGCACGCTCCGATTCTAGCGTAGTAAACTGTTGCTCTTTAGCCTCACGATCGCATTTATCACTTATTTCCTGCATAAAAAAACGATGTGTGGGTGGAATTTTATTAAAAAGTAATTATGGCATTTTGCAGTGATACAAAGATTGGAATTTCGCAGTGTGATTCACACATGCAGTGCCATATATATATGGGGTTGCCCTCTCACAACTATCGACCCGTCATTAGCCGCTCCAACGGTTCGTTATCTGGGCCTAGCGACTGGCTGGCTTCTCCGTCAGGTCGAGCTGGGCCACGTTAGCATGACTAATTGGTCAGAATGAGCGCGACATGTATGCGCATGCATGGCTAACGGCATTATCTTTGTTATCAGCTGTCGCAGCTGTAACTGTTAACGCTCAATATCAAATTAGAACTAACAGCAAGTTCAATGTCGTCTGCCCACGAGTTGGCTAATGCCAATTGTTAGCCAATAAATAGTCCAAATTGCCAATGAGCGGATTTAAAAGAGCCGGGAAAAGGGGCGGCGCGGTGCAGATGGATGACTAACGCGAGGCATAAAAGCAGTTAATTTACTTGACTTTATTTGTGCCAGCCTTCTTTATTTTGTGCTGCGAATTGTATGCGACGCAGTTTTTGATTGCAGCGCGAAAAATCAGTTGCTAATTGTCAGTTCGTCATTAAGTAGGTGAATCAGTTTGAAGTCGTCAAGCCGCCACTCCTCGATAATCAGCACAAATTGAGGCTGACGACTGGCGAGTGTTATGAAATTGAATTGAAAAGAACATTGCCCGATAACGTATGTATGTAGAGAGCGAGCGAGAGAGTGAGAGAGAGGGGGAGGGACCGCGACACAGCAGAGATAATGCAGTGGCAGGCACATTACAATTTGCATATAGACAAAACCAAAAATTGCGATGAGCATCAATGCGGTTATCAGCAGCGTAACTGTTTATCAGCAACGGTTTATCCAAAAAATAACGGATTCAATTAGCTGTACACTCTAACCATTTTAACAAATATATAAACATATATGGGAATAGATATGCATAGATATTGTAAGGCCATGTGGTAATGTAATCAATGTTTGCTTCTCTAGCTTTTGCTAATTAAATCTCTCTCCAATTTTCCCCAAATCACCTCACCAATTCACTCAAATGGAGCTTACTAGACCTTTTGAGAATCGCATAGAGGCGACATTCAATTATGCCTAAATATGTATATTTAACATTACAACTAATATACACTTCTGTGAGTTCGCATGTTTTACAGGGTATCGGAATTGCATGCTGCATGAATTGCAACGGCAACAACAACAACATATGCCGAACTGCATAGAATGTGGGCATCGAGTTCGTCACAGTCTGTGCGGTATTTTGTTGTTGTTGTTGTAGCCTCTGTCATAACGAGGAGAAGAAGCAGAGATGATAAACAACATAAGAAAGCAGGCGAACGAAACGGTACTACCAGAAGATTCGTGTATTGAAGTGCGCATAAAGCATAACAATGTTGCCCGTTTTTGCTGCTATTATTATTAATATTACTTTTATTGCTGCTCCGATTAGTGCTGTTGGAGGAGGAGGAGGAGCATAATTCATTAGAATTCATTAGGAGATGCTTTCAAGCGAAAAACAATTTTGATTTCATCAAGCTTGGCTCTGCTGTTGCCGAGTTAGTTGGAAAGTTAGATTATCCTCGCAGCGCACAAAGGACCGAAATGACACACGCACACGAAGGATAAGCAGACGGAGCAAGAACAACGCCAACAACAAATTGAGTTCATTACACAAAAATTCGAACACACCTACACACACCCACACGCACACGCACACAGATACATGTAGCTACAGATACAGCTACACGCAGCAGGCAATGTCATCCTAACTGCGAAGTTAAATTCCGTGAAATCCCAATTCAAGTGAGTCGCAAAGCGACGATGAAGCGGGCTGAAGCAGCAGCTGAAGACACAATTCGCCGGAACTGGCCATAAAGCAGAAACTCCAGCTCTGGCAAAGACGAAGTAGCGAAGTAGAAGCAAAGAGAAACCCAGGCCCAGGCCCAGGCCGAGACCGAGACGTATGCCCTTTGTGCCAAGCGCAAAAATTATTTATGTCTATGTGTGCGTGTGTGTGTGTGTGAGACTTCAACTACTTGCATTGGCAGGTCCCGGACGGCCAATTTATTTCTGTTAAGCGATAGCTCATCGAACTTTTCAATACTAATTTGATCCTTCTTTACAACTCTGGAAATAAAGGGTTGTAAAATGCCTACAGATATATGTGTGTAATGTAAGCAACAATTACAATTATCAGCGGGCAGCAATCAAAACAAATGAAATTCAAAACATACACACACAGAAATATGTATGTATGTATGGATTTTCCCAAGAATTGTGTACAAATACCGACAACGAATTCGCAGAACTCCAAATGCTTGCGACGCGTACGGCGCTTTTTGTTATTATCAATAATAATAATAATAAACGTAGAAACAATTTTTGGCAATCCTAATCGTAAACACCCCGCCTGAGGCCAGAGTGCATGCCTAGTCAGAGAACTAGTGTAGGAAAATGGCTACAGTAATCAGAATTTGAGCGAATTGCAAGGAAAGAGTAGACGCCGAAGAAGAAGAAGAAGAGGCAAAAGCAGCATCCAAGAGCAACAAGCGAGAGCGCATGCAAAGTGCAGCAGGTGAGCGTTAGCGTCACTCTGTATGTGAATGTGTGTGTGTGTGTGAGTGAGTCGGATGAATGTGTCTGTGTATGTTTGAGAGAATGTGCCTGTGAAATTTTCGGCCAAACGTTGCGCGAGCGCCACAAACTAAAGCCAAAGACCGGAGTTGGGCTGCTGCTGCTGCTGCTGCTACTTCTGACCAACACCGACACCAAAAGCTACAAATACAGGCGCACGCTCACATGACAGCGACAGCAACAAAAAAATAATAGCGCAGTGGGGCTGACCGTGAGCAGCGTGCCTACACAGACACACGCGTCCATGTATGTACATTTGTAGTTGTTTTTTTTTTTTTTTTGCTGTGTATGTGTGTGTGTGTGTGATGGTGGTGGTGGTGGTGTTGGAGGCATCGGCATCTGCAGAAGCCTTTTGCGCACTCATCACATTTTCGTGGAAATCGAATCAAAAAGGAATAAAACTGTATGTGTGCGCCCGAGTGTGTGTATGTGTATGTATTGTACATTTTGGTGTGCGCTGGTGCCCTTCTTGCCAGTCGCTGTTCCTTGTCGATGGGTGTACAATGATATAGTACTTGGTACTTACCTTGTAGTATTGAAGCCAACCCGATCCAGATTTTTTGTCATTATATTCCTGTTCGATTTTGAGCCTGGCGGGCGTGTTGTCCCTTAGCACTGCTGCACTCGTCTCAGTCATTGTACACTCGGTTTGTGTGTTGCTTGTTAATTTAGAATTTGGAGTAATTTGTAATGTCTGCTTGCTTTTCTATCTTTCTTTCGTTTGCGTTTTGTTTTCGACACACCGACACACCAACACACGACTGAAACGACCGAGTAAATAGTGCGTAAGAAAATTTGACTACTGCGGCGACGGTCTGACGGTTGTGTTGTCTGTTGCTAACACGCTATAGCGTGTGTGCTGGCGGCAATTGTATATTAATAACTAAATGCAAGCGGTCAGCATTTGCCACATTATTCACTGGAAATTGCGTTTAAAACACTAAATGCGTGCGTTTAGTTTTGATTAGTAATGTTTTTCTCTTTCGCCTTTTTTCTTTCCGCAAAATTAGCAGTAATTGATGTTTCGATGACGAGCAACAAAAGTTATCGCTTTATCTATCGATTAGCGAAGTTGTGCTTAGCACGGTCACACTGGCCCTCAATTTGAACAGGCTGGCATGCCCATACGCAAACAGCTGTTTTTGTTCGCGTAATAATAATTTTTGGTTGAAATATGTTAAAAACACGCATTTTTCGCCTAATACACGACAAACGTTTGAGCGTGCCCATTTTGCGCGGCTTTCATCATGAGTTCAGCAAACCCGAGCCACAGCCCACCAATCCAAATGTAAAGCAACAGCAAGAGAAGAAATCCTTTGTTGCGGGCGGCGTACAAAATAAATACAAAGTATTCCGCGATGAGGAGGCAACGGAAATCTTCGATGTGGAGGAGGCGCGTTATCAAGAGCGCGAACTGCCCGTGGAAGTCGAGCAGGATCAGTACTTCGGCCTCAATTTAAAGAGTAAGTGCGCTCAGTAATATTTTGTGTCCATTGTTTATCCTTATTTCCTGCCAGGAGGCGTTCGCGGCGTCTTTGATGTGGAGGATCTGGTGGAGCTGTTGCGCAAGGAGAATGTGGATGATATTTTCGTTTGCTATGTGCCCGAGGAGCTCAAGTATGTGGATCATCTGGTCGTTTGCAGCGCGCGCAGCTATCGCCACATGCTGGCCACAGCGGAATTCGTGCGCCGCATGTTCAAAATCAAGCGTGCCAAGGGGGATTTGCTGCCCCGCATCGAGGGCGAAAAGAGTCGAGACTGGATGGCCATGGATTTGGGTGAGCAGCTGTCACACTGGCTACAATCCATTCATTTATTTATATTCCATTCCCGCAGGTAACATTGCGCTGCACATATTCTCGCCCAAGGCACGTGAGGATTACGATCTGGAATCTTTGTGGGCCATTGGCCCCCAGTACGATCACGAAAGTCAAAAGCCACAGAACCCGCTGGGCAACATATTCATTGCGCAGGTGCCAAAGCCAGAAACGTAGCCGTATAAATGTACAAAATACAATTTGTTAATTAAGATCACATTTCATTATAATTGTCTACCAGACGACAGCACCGTCAGACAGCTTTTTGTGAAAGTCATAGAGGCTGGGAAAGACGTGATTCCTGTTGATGTCGACGCCATACTTCTTGGCCAGATACGAATAGCTCTTCTCGTGCACCAGCGCCGCATGCCAGCCCACCTCCTTGGCGCCCAGATAGTCCGTGGTCGGCCCATCCCCAATGTGCAGGCACTCCTCCGGCCGTAGCTTCTCCAGCCCAGATTCAGCCATGGCACGCTCAAAAATAGCCGCTTGCGGTTTCTCAGCCTTCGCCGCATACGAGTTAAGCGCAAAGTCCAAGTACCGATCAAGTTTTGTGTTGCGCAGCAGCGCTTCAAGTCGCGGATCAAAGTTGGCTATGACGCCGACCTTGCAGTGTTTATCCGGCTGGTTGTGCTTGCTCAGCTGCTGCAGCAGCTCCACGCTGCCGTTGCACGGCTGCCAGCATATGGTTGTCTTGTACAGCTCCAGCAAATGGCTGACAAAGTTATCTAACTTTGCATCGGGTATGGGTGCGCCGCTCTCCGCGAAAGTGCCTTGAGAGCAAATCAATGAGTATTTTAGCTTTTGCACTTTGAACCAGCTGCAGTTTATCGCCTACCTGCTATCAGCTGACGCCACCACTGCTGCCACTCAAGACGCGGGGACGTCTCAACGCCAAAATTCGGATAGTCGCGATTCATCTTGTACCTGGAGAGTACCACAAGGAGTAGCTAAGAATGCGTAGCTTATCTGCCAATTGCTGTGCTCACCAGTTCGCTTTGAAGTTCTTGGCCAGCTCATTGTTATCGCAGCGCGCACCGAATAGTGCTCCGATTTCGCCATATTGCTTGCCGGGACTGGTGCGAAACTGCAGCAGCGTATTGGTCACATCGAAGGTTATCAGACGAAAGCGATTCAGGCTGCGCATCTTTGCTGGGGTCTTCTCTCTATCTCTCTCTCTCTCTCTGTGCTAAACTGACCTGTTGTCTATTTACTTGTCGATTTCTGCGCCTTGCGTTGCGTCCGAGTTCAGTTCGCGTACTACGTGAGCCGAGTCCATAATTATTTTCTATGACCGCTGCTGCTGCTTCTGCTGCTGCTGTTGTTGTTCTTATCAGCAAACAGATTTGTGAATCTATTCGTGTGTGTGTGTGTGCGTGTGTGTTTAGCTGTTTGTTTTGCTTGTATCTCCAGCTGGTTGGCAATTCATTAATGACAAGTCCCATAACTGTCGCTTGTCTTTATCAGTAATCAACTTTGTATTGATTTGCATTAAAAACATGTTGATAAACAAAACCCGTTCATCGATCGCTTATCTGTTGTGATTTTTCTTGCTTGAAACGCGCGCACTTGGTTGCGCGGCGTTGCCAGCTGGCTGCCAGCTAGCGTCAGCTGGCAACTACGCTGCACAGCACTGCCAGCTGCAAGTTTTGCTGCTTAGCAAAGACACCCACCTGCGCGGTAGGCGCGCGTGTTTGAAATTGAATTTAACTTGCCTGCACTCAATTTTCGTTAGCTGCAACGTGCGCTTTGGCGCCGTCGACGTTTCGAGGTCGACGCAGCAGTCGGTTACGTTTTTGCCAAAATATGTGGCGAGGCAACTTCGCATATGGAAGACGTGTCAGTTTTATTAATGCTCGTGGGAAGCAATAACAAGCAGCCGACAACAACAACAACAACAACAACGACAACACAACTTGCACGTATCTGCCGTTTTGACCTACCAACTGTCTACCTGGCTCAAGTTGCGGAATTATATTTGTTTTTGTTGTTCTTTCAGTACTGCAAATGCAAAAAATAATATTGATGTGCAATCAGTGTGACCAGCTGAGCTTGCATCATTTAATTTAGTATTTAGGAGGGTAGTGTTTGCAGAAAGCGTATTTGCTATTCGGTGTGATGTCAGGAGTTTGTAATTGCGGAGGATCAATTACGTTGAAAGTAGCGGGACAGCCAAATTTGTATCCTTTTATTGATGGGCAGCGGCAGCATGCGAGGCAACAAATATAAAGCATAACAACAATAACTACACTCTCGCACACACACACACACACACACACACATGCACAAATGAAATGCCGTAGAAGGTATTCAACGAAATTCCAGTGAAAACACACATAAAAATAACAAAAGCATAAATTCATTCATACCCAAAGCGGCGGCTGCACCGACACCGACAGCTACCAACAATAGCAGCCGCAAACCCAATGGACCAAAAGTGCTGCCCAATCACCCATACACACACACACACACACACACACACATACTGGGGCAACTTCTTTGTTGTGCAAACTTCAATGCGGGGATCGGACAGGGACTCGGATCGCAGCGCTTCGGTTGGCGGCCGCTGATTTTTGTTGACTTGCGCGCCCACAAAAACCAACAACAACAACAACAACAAAAAGAAGAAAAGCAGCAACAAAAAAAAAAAAATAAAAAACTTTCTGCTTATTTAATCTTTGGGCTGCGCCCAGATCGCAGCACTTTTGGTATTTGCCAATTTTGTTCGTTTTCGCTATAAATAAAGTATCAATATGCCTCAGCCCGTGCTTAGGTTCGGGTTTCTATGGAAGGGCGAGAGGGCCAACGAAAGCATACTCTGTAAATTCCATAAATGCCAGACATCGTTAGTGTTTTTGCTGCTGTTGTTTGCTGTTTGTCATTTTTGGTAGGGCCCCGACTGCAGCATTATTTATTTGGGCCAAATCGAGCGATACCAAGAAGAGGCGAGGTATGCTTGGAATTTACTAAAAACTTCATTTTGAGCAACGGGCATGTTGTTCAACAGCTTGAAATATTCTTGATGCGCTTGGAATTGATAGTCACATTTAATCTTACAATTGTAAAAGTGAGCTATGATAATATTTAAATGAAGTTCCTACAGATTTCGCTTAGTTATAGATTCCGTTAAGTTAACCTAGTATTCGAAAAGTTTACATATGCAATCTACCAGGGCAATAATTATCCGGGAAACGTGCCTCAATTCCAGGCTAGTGTATTGCCTGGTTTAAGCGAGCTTCTGTATCTGTATCTCTATCCATATGCGTATCCGTATCCATATCCATATCCGTATCTGTATCTGTATATGTATCTGTATCAGTATATATAAATGTATCTGTATTTGTATCTGTATCTGTATCTGTATTTGTATCTTTATCCATATACGTATCCGTATCCATATCCATATCCGTATCTGTATCTGTATATGTATCTGTATCTGTATTTGTATCTGTATCTGTATCTGTATTTGTATCTTTATCTGTATCCGTATATACATCTGTATGTGTATCTGTGTCGATATCTGTATTCGTATCTTTATATGTATTCGTATCCGTATCCATATCCGTATCTGTATCAGTATATATGTATCTGTTTCTGCATTCGTATCTGTTTCTATATCTGTATTTGTATCTGCATCTGTATCCGTATCTTTATATCCGTATCACGTACTGTATCTTTATCCGAATTTATATCCGTATCTGTATCTGCCTCCAAGAACCAAAATTCTGGTATATAAGCCAAAATTCACTTTCACTCTATAATTTGTTTATCTTATTTAAGGACGCCTCAGAACTAATAAAAAGTTAAAAAATAAAATAAAAATATGCTAGTAACACGTGCATTGCAGATCTCTGCTTTAAATTACAGATACTTCCTTGGGCTAACTAGAAAGTTAATTTGATTGATCTCTGCAAACGTTTCGATTGCAGCTAAATAAACTTACAATAGATATCTACTGACACATGTCCTACCCAATGATTATTAAGTATTTACCTTCGTTTCGCCAACTACTTCAGTTGCAAAAAAACAAAACGAACAAAAAAAAAAAAAACAAAATGAAAAGGCCGCCCAACTTTCAACAAAAACTTTCCCAAGAAAATTAACCAAGCAACCAGCTCAACCAAGTCAAGTCAAGCCGAGCCGCCGATCCGCCGGGCCGCCGAGCCAAGCCAGAGCCAGAGCCAAAGCAAACCAAGCCAAGTCAAGCAGCCCAGCCAGCCAGCCAGCCAACCAACCAATAATAATAAAGTCAATGACTCCCATGGAATTTCATGTTGGCCCTTTTCGAAATGTGTCTGCCAGTCGGTCGGCCCAACTCCAACTTGGCTGCTTGGCTGACTGGCCGTCTGCCCGTCTGTCTGTCTGCCCGTCTGCCCGTTTGTCTGTCTGTCTGTCTGTCTGTCTGTCTGTCTGTCTGTCTGTCTGTCTGACTGGCTGCCTGACTGCCTTTTAATATTATCTGCACTTTGGGTCTTTGGCTGCCGCCGCTTTTGTTGTTGTTGTTGTTGTTGTCGCTGCAGTTGCTGTTGTTGTTTTGATTGGTCGTTTTAACCTGTTTGCGAATTTCAACCATGTTAATAAATAATTTTTAGAGGATTCGCCTGTACGCTTAGGAGTTGCCAGCAGCAGCAGTGGCAGCAGCAGGAGCAGAAGTACCTCTGGCCATTGGCAGTCTTTGGATTAGATTTGGCTTGTTGCTGCTGCTCTGCCCGCCTCTGTGTGCCTTGAAATGCGGACAGACAGCGCCTGTGGCAGCCTCGCCCACAAGTCCATGTCAACACTTCTTAGTTTACAGTTCGCACAACAATCTATCTGGCAACGCTTCTCATTTTTTGCTTGCCGCTTACCAACACTAAAGCTATAATGCAATATTGTTTGTTAAATGAGTGTTGCAAATGGCGTTGTGCATTTCTTTGGCACCGTTCTTAATTTCCCATTTTTAAGTACCAGTTCTTATAAGAAGGAAATCTCTTGATTACAAACTAAATCGAAAGTAAAATTTGGAACTGACCTCCATTTAATTTTAAACATGCTCAAAACTATGCAGCGAAACGCTTGCCCAAAAGTATGCTAGCCAAAATTAACGTATCTAGATGATAATGTCTATTTTTGGAAATTTGGATTTATAAGCCTATAAGTAAAAAGATTTCCCAAGACTTCAAAACTAAAGCAATTTTCATAAGGTATCCCTCTTTACGATCATGGTTTGATCACGATATAAATTTGATATTATCTGAAATTTCTTGTCAAAAAATCTGTATTTAAAGATGTTCCTTTTAGACTTTAAATATTTATGAGAGACACCCTTTTTTCATGGTTTGCAAACAAATTTTGAGTATAGAATACCCCAATTATTATTTATAGTTCTTCAGAGACATATGATATATATAAATGAAAAGATTCTTAAAGGGTTTAAGCTTTAATGGGGTGAAACTCTTAATTAATTCAACAATTATTTGTAACTCGACTTCCACAGAGGAAGCTTGGATTCTGCGAAAAGTATGAAACACGACTAAGCTGAATTTTCATAAAGAGCCTTGTGCATGAATTTATATCGCATTTAAATTCATATCCAAGGCACTTTATAAAAAGTCTTTGAGACGTGCTTTATATTTTTCACCCACCAAATCTATCAAGAAGGAATGGATTTTCCGAAAAGTGTAAATAATCCCGCAAATGTTTTGAAACAAAGATCTTTGAGAAAGAGTTTAAAGCCGATCGGAAGGTTTTTCACGATTATTCCACACTTTCGGGTGGAATATCCCAATTTCCACATAAGATAACTAGAGTGAAAATTTCCTAACTCCTACAGCTTGGAATGTGAGTTGATCAGCAATCAGTTTTATATATATATATAGGGAAAACAGGAATTGGTATTTTAAATGTTCTTATCAAAATAGATGCCATAAATATTGAATTTCCCAAATGGAAACCTTTAAGCTTCCATAATTTGGTCTTTACTCAATCAATTTGAAGGGGCATCAATTTGTAATGCCGATTTCTTGCCTTATTTGATGAAATGTTCATTTTTGGAAAAATATGATATTTAAGAAGCGCTTTACTATCTAACTTCCAGTAGGGACTGGCCACTTCACAGCTTCATCTGCAACTCGAACTCAGGTTTCCCAGTCGCTTTGGTTTGTTCTTGTTCGAAATTCCTGGTCCGCCTTTTGGCTTGTGTTTTGTTGGCGAGTCTCTGAGCGAGCATCTTTGGCTGCGTCTGCATCTTCGTCTTGGTCTTGGTCTTGGTCTTGGTCTTCATCTTCGT